AAAAAAAAAAAAAAAAAAAAGAATCAGCATCATGAAAACTTCCCAAAGCAATCTACAGATTCAGGGCAATCCCCATTAAAATATCAACATCATACTTTCAAGATTTGGGGAAAATAATTGTTTTGTATGGAACCAGAAAAAACCCTGTATAGCCAAGGCAATTCTTAGTAATAGAAACAAAGCAGGGGGCATCACCATACCAGACTTTAGGCAATAGTGACAAGGCCATAGTGATCAAAACAGCATGATATTGACACAAAAATAGAGACATAGACATTTGTAACCAAATAGAAAACCAAGAGATGAAACTAGTCTCTTATAGTCATCTGATTTTTGATAAATGAAACGAAAGCATACTGGGGAAAAGAATCCCTATTCAATAAATGGTGCTGGGAAAACTAGCACCACATGTAAAGACTGGAACTGGACCCAGACCTCTCACCACTTACAAAAATTGATTCAATATGGATAAAAGATTTAAATCTAAGTCAGGAAACAATAAAAATCCTAGAAGAAAGTGTGAGGAAAATACACTTGAAGATAGCGGCTTGGGGAAAGATTTTATGAAGAAGACTTCAGTGGCAATTGCAACAACAATAAAAAGAATAAATGAGACTATTAAACTGAAAAGCTTCCATACAACGGAGACAACAACCAAAGCAAATAGACAACCTTCAGAATGGGAAAAAATATTTCCTCATTATGCATCGGACAAAGGCTTGATAACTAGGATCTACGGAGAACTCAAATTAATCAACAACAAAAAAAGCCAACAATCTAATGTATCACTGGGCAAGAGACATGAATAGAACCTTCTCTAAAGAAGACAGATGAATAGCTAGTAAATATAAGAAAAAATGTTCATTGTCCCTAATTAGAGAAATGCATTTCAAAACCACCCTGATAGCAATTACATAACAACCCCAGTGAGAATGGTCCACATCACCAAAATCTCAAAGCTACAGATGCTGGCATGGATGCAGAGAGAAGGGAACATTTTTACTTTTACCTTGCTGGTGAGACTGCAAACTAATACAAGCTTTTTGGAAGGAAGTATGGAGAATCCTCAAAGAACTCAAATTAGACCTTCCATTTGATCCTGCAATCCCATTACTAGGCATCTACCCAAAAGAAAAAAAAATCATTTTATCTCAAGGACATTTGCTCTAGACTGTTTCTTGCAACTCAAATTACAATCACCAAAATGTGGAAACAACCTAAAGGCCCCAAAAGCCAGGATTGGATTAACAAACTGTGGTATATGTATACCATGGAATTCTAATACCAAAAAAATGGAGACTTGGGCAGCGCCTGTGGCTCAAAGGAGTAGGGAGCCAGCCCCATATGCTGGAGGTGGTGGGTTCAAACCCAGTCCTAGCCAAAAACTGCAAAAAAAAAAAAAAAAAAAGAGAGAGAGAGAGAGACTTTACATCTTTTACATTAACCTGGATTGAGCTGGAATGAAGTCTTCTAAGTAAAGCATCACAAGAATGGAGAAGCAAGAATCCAACGTACTCTATTCTAATATGAAGGCAGTAGATGAGCTAATACAAGGTGGGGGGTAGGAAAATGAGGGGAGGGAGGGGATAGGGAGTCACAGTGTATGGCACACCTCCTGGGGGTGGGACACAATTATAAGAGGGCGTTTACCTAACAAATGCAATCAGTGTAACCTAATTCTTTGTACCCTCAATGAACCCCAAACCAAAACCAAAAACAAACAAACAAAAAAACCTGTGTATAGAAGGATGTGAGAGGTTGTATACACATACTATGCTCCTGTACATCAGGGACCTGAGCACTCTCTATGTGGCATCAGGGAGGTCCAGAGTGGTTGTGTGTTGTGTCAGTAGCAGTTGCCTCTGTGAGGGGCACTTAATCTGCTGCCTGGTACATCATTTAAGGGGTTTGCCACACATGTCTTTTTTTTTTTTTTTTTTTTTTTGAGACAGAGCCTTAAGCTATCCCCCTGGGTAGAGTGCCATGGCATCACACTCACAGCAACCTCCAACTCCTGGGCTCAAGCGAGTCTCCTGCCTCAGCCTCCCAAGTAGCTGGGACTACAGGCGCCCGCGACAACGCCTGGCCATTTTTTGGTTGCAGCCATCATTGTTGTTTGGCAGGCCCGGGCTGGGGATTTAAACCCGCCACCTTAGGTGTACGTGGCTGGCGCCTTAGCCACTTGAGCCACAGGTGCCGAGCCGCCACACATGTCTTAAATAAAGCCCTATCAATACCTTTTCATCACATCCTGCTCAGGAACCCTGTTTATGGGAGCAGGTTCCGATTCGCCAGACCCTCTGTGGTTACCTTGTTGTCCAGCGCCAGCCCTCTCTCCTGCTTCCTGCAGCCCTTATTGCTCCCCGCCTTGACCTGTGGCACCCTCTCAATTCCTCCTTTCCTGAGGCCCAGGCACAGCCTGTGCAGTCATGTTATGGGTAGAGCCCTGGCCATGGTTCTGTGCTGAGCAGGCCGGGCTCTGTGTCATCACCATTTGGTGAATATTTTACTTCAGAATATTACCAGGTTATGCACATTTTAGTTGCATAATTTGCTTTTGTACATCTTTCTCCATCTGTTGTCTATCCTTTGGACAATTTCTGTAAATTTTTTTTTCTTTTGAGACAAGAGTCTCACTGTGTCACTCTCAGTAGAGTGCCATGGCATCACAGCTCACATCAACCTCAAACTTTTGGGCTTAAGTGATTCTCTTGCCTCAATCTCTCTAGTAGCTAGGACTACAGGCACCTGCCACAGTGCCCAACTATTTTTTGTTGCAGTTGTCATTATTGTTCTAGCTGGCCTGGGCTGGGTTTGAACCTGCCAGCCTCAGTGTACGTGGCTGGTGCCGTAACCACAATGCTGTGGGTGCTGAGCCAATTTCTGCAGATTTTAAGTGGCTAGCTTTATAATTTATCAGTTGCAGTCAGATTCTGGCTGGGGAGTCTATGAAGCCTCCTGCCACTTTTGCTAGTCAGCTCTGATCAGCTGTACATTCCATGACCAGAACTAGGCCAAGTCAGTGGTGCTGTTTATGGTAATTCTGAGTATGCTACTTTCTAATAAATCAGATAAAATGGACATACTGGGAATTCCTAGGCATAAACTATGCTAAGACTGTTTAGCCCTGGTGAGGTCTAAATAGAGGAAAATATGAGTTGCATCAGATTCTTTAAGAGCAAACCACCTATTTATCATATCTGCTCAAACACACAGATCCTGGCACAGCCACAAGCAACATGTCAGGCCATAGCTGGCCAACAGCAGAAGTACTTCCCATGGCAATCATTAGTTCTGGAGGCTCTACACAGGTTATCCCAGTAGCAAGTTGTGACAACTGTCTCACCATAGATGCAAGCCCCAGGGGTGTCGAACCCCAGGCAGGTCCCAGCCACTGGGGAGGCCCAGAGCCAGCAACCCAAGAGCCTAGATGTGGCCCACCATCATGTTCAAGGCGCCCAGTAAGCCCAGCTTCACAAGGCTTCAGTTCAGAAGGTGCCTCCTACCCTTGAGGGGCTGAGGTGGAATGTGTGGGCCCCCGAGAGACCTGGCCAGCCAAGCCCCAGGCTTGCAGACATGCAGGGTGCCTCAAGGTAATTGACTCCCCAGCACAGGCGCCTGCATCCACCATAGCCCCACACACATTCCAGCACATTCAGGATGTGCTGTGCACAGCCTGCCCTAAAACAGAAACCTGTCTTGTAAGAGAACATAGTGTCTCTAGCCCTAAGAGGTTTGCACTTGTTTAGTTTGGGATTTCAAGTTTGTGCACTTTTCCACCTCACACACCACAGAAGGACTCGTAGGATGACCTTTCTAAGGAAAGATGGTGAACATGCTCATGTTTCTAGAATAGCAAGGTCTCAGCTCAAGGCTAACCCCTGAACTCTCAGCCAAAACATGACAGATGCTAGTTTTTCAGTTTCACTGACACTTTATTTACAAAGGCCATGTTGATCTCAGGCCAAACTTCAGGTTGTAAAGGCAACAAGCCATGAAGTCTCAGAGGAGAGGGGCCTGGAGAAGAAGGCCATGTCCACTGGCTGCTTCCTCAGAAATCCCAAAGAATTCTTGTCCTTTCTCAAGTACAGCATCCACTGCTCAGAGTTCTCAGGAAGGAGGGAAAGGCAGTGACTGTTGTCCTACGACAGGACAGAAAGGGCTTGGTCCCTTTGGTTCTTCAAGTCCGCACCCTAGGCTGCCTTCTGCTTCCGTTCTTCCTGTGGGAGGAAGAAGGTCTCAGAACCATCCACGTTTACCCCTCTTCAGCCACAGGGCCCTGACTCTGCCACCAAGTGCTGCTATCTCCACACAAGTGGAGGGGCCACGCAGCTATCTCCATCCCCAGAACCCAGTGCCTTCTGTCTCCCAACCCTCCTGCAAGCTTCAGGATGATGGTTGTTTCAACCCTTCATTTCTTCCTTACTTTCCTCTTTTCCCATGTTGTTATGACATCCTCTAGAAGCACCTAAGGTTTGAGTCACAAGACCACCACCACCACCAGAGGGTCTCACAGGCCCAGTATGGCCCCCACCTTGACTGTCCTCTCCAGCTGGGATAAGGCCTCCTCATACCGAGGGACCAGTGGCTGCAGTAGCTCGCTGAGGAGCTCATGCCGCTGCAGTGCAGGCACCCCACCTTCAGTCAGCATCCGGAGGAACCTCCGCTCCTAGAGAGAAGCTCATATGTGGGAAGGTGCCCCAGGCAGCCCCCATGTGTCTAGGCAGAAGCCCCGCCAAGGCCCTCACGGCCTTACCTGCACTTTGAGGAGCAGCGTGAAAGCCTGTCCAGCATTCCCAGCTCGGGCTGTTCTCCCCACCCTGCATCAAACATAACCATCTCAAAACAGCAACTTCTGGCCCTTCAGGGGCCTGACAGGGGCTTCTCTCTCCAACCCCCACCCAGAACCATGCACAAAGGCCCCACAGGATGCCCTCACCGGTGCACGTAGGTCCTTAGGTACTGGGGAGCATCATAGTTGATCACCAGCTCCACACCCTGCACATCAATGCCACGGGCAGTGGCGTCTGTGCTGATAAGGCTGTTGGGACACACAGCACTGTGTGTCACTGTAGGCCCACCCAAGCCAGAAAGAGGGACAGCTACACCTGTACCTGGCCCCATAGGGTGGCTCTGGCCTTCTGGGAACTGGCTGCATGGAGTTGGAGGGCACAGGAGGCCCATCTCCTGAAGAAAGTGCTCTTCAGAGAGACCCCAGCTAACACTGAGAGTGAACACCCTCACTCCAGAGCCCCAGGCCCTTCCAGGTACTCACAGTTGGATCTTTCCCTGTTCAAACTGCTTCAAGATCATCTTCCTCTGGCCAGGTCCATAGCGGGAGGAGAATTCAGCCACACTCACACCTCCAAAAGCTTGCACCAACAGGAAGAGCCTGGGAAGGAAAAAGGCTATAGCCAAGTGGCACTGGGACTACACTGCCTCAGCAGTGCCCTGCCCAGCCCTCACCTGTGTGAGTTTTCTCGGGAGTTGGTGAAGCAGAGGACCCTGGAGAAGCTCTTCTCTAGGATCAGGTGCAGGACAAGCAGCGGCTTGGTGCTGAGGCTACAGGGCACGTAGTGGTGCTGCAGGAGGTGGCAGAGGTTGGCAGAGAGCCAGAAGTACCTGGGCCCTATTCTGCCCTGCATGTGTCCCACTCACCGTGAGCCCCACAGGGAAGGCATACTTCCCTCCCACATCCCCGTCTGCATCTTGGGGGCCCTTGCATGCCAGACTTGTGGAAAAAAGCCGGGGGTGGTGGAGGCCCAGTTGCTGTAGCTTTTCAGGGTTCTGGGTCAGAGTAGCTGAGAAGAGCAGCTTCTGCAGAGGCATCTGGGGACAGCAGGTGCTGGAAGAGGATATGGGGAGCACTGGAAGAAGCCACCTGCAACCCTCCTGAACTTCTAGGAACACGCTTCCTCATGACTACAGAGAAGAGCCCATATCAGACCAAGGTGGGGTATCTGACTCAAGAGTGGTCCTATGTGACAAAATTTGACAGAACTCACTCCAGCCTCCTCTCACACCAAGAAAGCAGCAGAATGCACAGCAGCCTCGGCTCAGGGGCAGCCAGCTCCTGGGCACAATGCTGGATACCTGGCAGCAGTCACAGCCTGGAGTTGCCTCCTCTGCAGCAGGACACAGGGATCTGGGGGACCCTCCCCCTGGAAGGCCGCTGCCACTACCCGTGGCAGCCAGGATTGGTGCATGCTGTCTATCATCCTGTCAGCCTCATCTATGACCTGAGGGATGAGAAACCTGGTGTTGGGTGTGGGAAGGCTCCCTGCCAAGGTCAGCCCTTCACTCACAGCTGTGGCTTCTAGGATGGGTGACCTACCAGGAACCGGAGCTGCTGGAGGCTGAATCCTGGGGTCTGGTCAATGTGGTCTACCAGGCGGCCAGGAGTGGCCACCACGATGTCAGCTAGGCAGCGGTAGCCATCTGTTCTATAAACCATAGTGTAGTTCCTCAGAAGATCTTTCTAGGGCATTCTGCAAGGCACTACCTTGCACACAGTGCAGTACTAGCAGACCCTCTCCCAACACTGGCAGCATGGGCTGCTGCTCACAGGAGTCTGGCAGCTAAAATAGTGGCTGCTCTTCTCTGGCTGTGTGCACCCAAGTGGGGACCCTCCTAAAGAGCCTACCACCCAGGAGAACCTACGTCTTCTGTACAAGGCTCTCCTGCTCCTTGGCCAGTGTCTTCTGTCCAGTAATTAGGGCAACTCGCAGAGGTGTTGTGTCTGTGTAGATGTTGAACACTTTGCTCACCTGGAGAAAGAGCCTGTCACTGGCCTGGATATATCTGCCCCCCCCACCACCACCACCACAGTGGAAACAACTCCAGCCTAGTCTGAGTCACTAGGAGCTGAGCACATACATGCCCAGTATGGCACCCAAGGCCACAGTGCTGACCTTCAGTGCAGGGATCACATACCTGCTGGGCCAGCTCCTTGGTGGGCAGCACAACCAGAGCACGTACATGGCACACCACTCGCTGCAGCAGGGCCTACAGGGGGAGGCTGCCTGTGTCAGCAATGGTGGCTCTCTGCCCACTGAACCCCTGCTGCAGGGGGTGGGGACTCTTGACACCCACCTGTACCACAGGGATGACAAAGGCCAGTGTCTTCCCACTGCCTGTTGGGGCAGAAACACAGAGGTCGCTGGGCTGGTAGCCGCCTCTGCCCACCAGAAACCCGTTAGCTGCACTCTCCAGGAGGGTGGGGATCACAGCAGCCTGGACTGGACAAGGAAGGATGAGAGACAAGTCCTGTTTATACTGGGCTCAGCCACTTCCCTGTCTATGACCTCTGGGCTGGGTTGCTCTGTTGGAGGCCTGGGAGCCTCTGCCTCGAGGAAAGCCCCAAGAAGCATTGGGAACCATGAGCCCAAGGACTCCAAATGTGGTGAGAGCTCCTAAGCTATGGTCATTCCCATTCCTGCCTGAGGATTCTCTAGAATAGCAGTTCTCAACCTGTGGGACGTGACCTTTTTAACTGTATTAAAGGTTCATGGCATTAGGAAGGTTGAGAACCACTGCTCTACAAGTTGCCCCCCCCCCCCCCGCCGCCATCCACCAGGATTAGGGCACCTGGAAAATAGAATGAGATGCCCTGTGCTCGTAGCTGCTTTTGTAAGTCAGGGTGGACCTCAGGGATGTCCTCGATTGGAACAAGGCCTTCAGCAATGTTCTTTTGGATACAACTTGGTTCAGCCAGCCATGCTGGCAGAAAAGGTTGAACCTATCACAAAAGAGGAAGAGACCAGGTGAATGTGCCAGAGCCAAAAACCAAGGACCTATGTTGAAGCTGAAAAGACTAGAGGAGAAAGACCTGAGGAGCCTCCCAGGTTAAGTTGCCAATTCGTCCTCAAACCAGTCCCCGCCTCAAACTCCTGTGCCCCACCTCCTACTCAACTTTCAGAGAAACTAAAAATCACACAGTAGCAGGTGCTACTTGCTGGGTAAAGCCACATGGTGGCCTCCGATGGCACCAGCAGTGGCTCCCATACCCTACTGTGCCTGTGATGCCCTCTGTGATCCTATGCTCACTTTCCCCAGCCACATCATCTGTCTTATGCATTAAGCTGGTAACCATCTCAATGTTTCTGCCCACCTCTGCCCTACCTAGCACAGCCTACCCACCCCAAGCCTGCTGGCTTCTTCAGAGCCTTGCATCCTGGGTCAGAGAGAACTTCCACCCACACCCCCATCCAAGGGCCGGGGAGCTCGCTGCCAAACCTCCTGCTCTCTTCACAGGAACTGCACCCCATCTCTTTAAACCAAGACAAACACACCCCACGGAAAGAAGACGGTGGAACCTCCTGAGTTTTGCTCCTGAGATCGGAAAGGCAAAGGAAGAGCTCTTTTAACATGCACAAGAAAGCCGATGCCGGAGACGTCGTTGGAAACGCTCCGTCTTTACAGACACAGCGCCAGACACAAGCCCGGTGCTCGGGCCAACTGTGGCCAGAGAAGATGCTCGCTCATCCAACCCTATCCTACCGCTAAGCCCGCCCTGCCTCCACGTGAGCTGCTCACCTTTGGTGCCTTCCTCCTCCCGAAGCCCCCCAGCATCAGGGCGGAGACCGTGGGCTCAGCCGCCTCCTCCGCGGGCCGTCCGTCTGGGGCCGCCTCGGCGCGCGCGCCGTGCCCCGCTGGAGACTCCTCTTTGCTCTCTGTGCGCACACCCGGGCCGGGCGGAGCGTCAGTTCCCGCCGGCGCTCGGGAGGGGAGCCCAGCCCGCCGCCCCGGCCCTCGCTCTTCCGCGCATTCGTGCTGGTCATCCTCCCTCGGCCGCTTCTCCCGCGGCGATTCGGAGCTTCCAAGCGCCTCCGAGCTACCACGCCGCCGCCTCCGGGGCCGCCGCCGCCGCCGTCCAGATGCCTCGGAGTGAGCGGCCCTCTCAGGAGGCGCTGGCTGCCGCTGCTGCCGCTCGCGGGCCCGGCTCTGCAGGCGCTCGAGCAGCGCCCGGGCCCGCTCGCCCGCCCCGGCCTCTTCCTCTTCCGCCGCTGCCGCTGCCTCCGGGCCCGGGTACCGCAAGATGTGAAACAGCGCCATGGCGCGCCAAGCCGCACGCCGCTCCGGTTCGCGCACGGAGATGACGTCCGGCGTGCCGATGGCGTCAGCGGTGCGCGGCGGGGACCACAAAGGCGGTGCGCGCGGGGATCACGGCTGGCCGTGAGGCGGTGGCGTCCCGGACGGAGGCGGCATGGAGCGGGAGCCTGGTCCCGCTGGCACGCGCCGGGCGCTGGGCCGTCTACTTGAGGCGGTGCTGGGAAGCCGCGGCGAGGCCAACGCCGTGTTCGACATCCTGGCGGTGCTGCAGGTGGCCGGTGTGGGGTTGGGATGGTTTGGGGACGGGCCAGAGGATCAGGACGGAGTCTTGTGAATTAGCGCGGGGTCGCGAAGCAGGGGCAGTGACAGCCCTGTGGGGCGCCCTGACCCCACTCTCTCCTCGCAGTCTGAGGACCAAGAGGAAATCCAGGAAGCGGTGCGCACATGCAGCCGTCTCTTCGGGGCCATGCTGGAACGCGGAGAGTTGTTCGTGGGCCCTCTGCCGCCCGAGGGGGCAGCCATAACAGGTGAGCGGCTGCAGGGTCCGCGGCCGCTCCTGGCCCGGCTCTCTGCTTGCTCTGTGGCGGGTAAGGAGGCTTTATCGCCATGGGATGAGCGGCGCAGAACCCTGTGTTAGCGCGTTTAGATGGAGGAGGGCTCAGATATCCCTTTCAGAGGTGACACAAGTCACCTCTGAGGGTGACCAGAGCCTGAGTAAAGTGAGGGGGTGAAGTCCTAACACTGGAACCTTGGCTGGAGGCTCTCCTGGGTTACCAGCGGTTCTTTGTGCAGGGCCCAGGGAGTGCTCTGGCTCCACCACATGCGTGGGGGCGTAGTGACTTTTATCCAGCTGTGGAGGCTGAGTAGAGGGCAATGCAGGTGGGTTCAGGACCTTGGGTTGGGCCTGGCACATGTGCGCATCAGTGTGGCCTGATAACTACCTTGACTTTGTGGGCAGGGTCCCGGGGAGCCATGCGCAAGTACAAGGTGTGGATGAGACACCGCTACCACAGCTGCTGCAACCGTTTGGGGGAACTCCTGGCCCACTTCTCCTTTCAGGTCAAGGTGAGTCTTGGAGTCATGGAGCCAGTTTCATCTTTGTCTATTTCTGGCACCCTCACTTCCCAGGCAGTCTACATAGCAGAAGCACAGGGCTGTGTGCGCAGACACTTCTTTCCGCACTTGTCTGGGTAAGGATGCTTGCTCTCTTTTGGCTAGTTTTCTGGGGGGCAGCCTCGCTCTGTCCCCTGACTTGGGAGTGTCATGTTGTGGGCCTTCAGGCCTGTCGAGAAACATGGCTATCTGGTCCTGTACTGTCTGTGAATAGCTGAAGAGGGATAGCCATAGCCAATAATCACTCTCAGTGGAGCCTACATGCCAAGCTTGTACCATTCCAGTTTGCATGTGTGTTTGCTTTGGCCTGCACTGCAGTCCACAGCCACAGGAATGGGTCAACACCTTATCACCCCAAAGAGAAATCTTATGCCTATTCACAGTCACTCCTCAGAGATACCCCTCACACTCCACCCCCAACCCTAGGAAAGCACTAATTTACCATCTGTCTCAGTGGATGTGCTTTTTTCTGGATGTCCCGTGTAAGTGGGATCATGTGATACACAGCCTTTCATGTCTGGCTTCTCTTGTTCATCATGACACGTTTAAGGCTTGTCTGTCCTGCACTGTGTCAGATCTTCATTCCCTTTGGTGGCTCAGTCACACTATACTTTGCTGACTTGTCCATGTGTATGGGACATTTGGGTTTTCTCTACCTTTTGGCTGTTACAAAGAATGTAGCTATGAACATTTACCTATGAATTAGTGTGTTGGTGTTTTCATCTTGCTTGGGCACATCCTCCAAGTGGTATTGCAGGTTATGTGGTAATTCTGTTTAACATTTTGAGGAATATTTTGAGGTTTGAGGCTGTTTTCCACAGCAGAGGCACCATTTTACATTCCTGTGGGCTGTGTGCCAGGGTTCCATGTGCCCTGTGTCCTCACCAATACATTGAGCCTGAGTCCCTAACTTTTAAAAGCTGGGGAAACGTCATACGTAAACATCTGATTTCAGCTTCTTGCAGAGAAGTCAGCAACTCTATTGCATTAGGCTAGTGTTTGTTTGTGGCAATAACTGGATGAAGGGAGAGCTGGGAATTTTATGCAGGCACAGGCCCTGGAGTTAAGTGATAGTGATTGTCTCACAGCTCCACAGATGTAATAAAAAACACTGACTTGTATGCTTTAAGTGGTAGATTGCACAACACGTGAGTTACATCCCAACAGAGCTGTTAAAGGTGGTGATCCATTCCTGTAACTGACTCCCAGAGGACCTTGTACAGCACTCAGGGCCTCTCTGGTTTGGGCTGGTGTTCCACTTTTCCCATTTGTCATCATGGGGCCAGAGCTTCTGAGCCCTGCTGGCTTTTCACAGTTGTGTTTTCACCTGTCACTGAGGTTCAGAGCAACATTCTCAGGATACTTATGACAAAGGCAGCCAGACGGCCCCATGACATTGATCTGCCTATATATGTTCCCTGGGTCAGATCCTATTCTGAACCCCACACTCATCAACTTTAGATGTCATCTTGCCCATTTCAGGGGCAGGATGTGGAGGCCTTGATAGTGGCTGGCAGCAGCTAGAGCAGAAGACAGGGTCCCTTTTTCATCTGTGCTCCTGGGCCTGGTGATGATGGGCTCCCTGGCTTGGGTGAGCTCGGTGGTGGTGGTGGTGGGGGGTGTCGTGACAACCCTACCCCTCTTTCGTAGGAGCTGGCCCTTAGCACACTCATGAAGTTTGTGCAGCTGGAAGGAATGCACCCCTTGGAGAAGCCCAAGTGGGAAGGCAACTACCTGTTCCCCCGCAGGCTCTTTAAGGTGAGGGTCTTGGCGGCAGCTCTCAAAGAACCTCATGGGGTAGGAGCTCAAGATATGTCTCTGGCTTGGGCTAGCTAAAAAGGTGGGTATTGGATAGGACATTTATGTATGCCCCTCCCTTAGGGGTGAGCTTGGCTGCTCAGGCGTCTTCTGTGGTGATCCATTGGTTGTGGGAAGTAGTCCTGTCAGTCGGCCTCTGGTATGGGGCTTGGCAGAGAGTCAGCAGCCTGTATGGATGCTGCTGGTCTGTGCCTGGGGTAGGGAGAGGTGCTCACTCCCATTTCTGCCCCCAGTTGGTGGTGGGAGGCCTGTTGTCGACTGAGGAGGACCACAGTCTGCTCCTCTCCCAGTTCCGGGAATATATGGAATATGATGACATCCGCTACCACACAATGCAGGCAGCCACCGACGTTGTGGCCCAGGTCACCAACCTACATTCTGAGGTAAGTGGACAGGTCCCTTAGTCCTTCTGGTGGGTGGTGGGGGCAGCATCCAGATGCTCAGACTAGGCTCCTGGCAGGTGTCCCTCACTTTCTGGAATAATGCCTTCACGTTGCTGTCTGCTGTGAGCCTGCCCCATCAGGAGCGCAATCTCTCCAACTTCTATGTGTCACACATAGGTGAGTGTCTGGCAGGAGGAGTTGGGGGCAGAGCCAGGACAGTAGCAGGTAACCCTTGGCCACTTGTGTCCTTGCAGAGTCATCGGACAAATGGAAAATTGCTCATCTGAAGGTGAGTCACTTCCACAGGGGTGGGTAAACTTCCAGGGCCACAGCATCTCCCCTCTATGCGGGGACAGTCCACATATGTGGTATATATGTCCACATGTGTGGGACCCTTAGAGGGCCAGCCACCACCCCATTTCTCCAAAGAAAGCTCCCAGGACGGAGGTGGCAGCTAGCATGGCCCCCAGGGCCACTCATGGGCAAGCGTGAAAGGAGATGCAGGCAGAAGCCAGATGCAGGCTTCATGGTTTCTGGAGACTCTTTCATGCCACACATCATTTCTGTGGGCAGTTTTAGATGTGCTGCACGTTCTGCCTTTCTATACCTGTGAGGAACGTAGTTTACCTCCCCTTGTTTTGTAGGGCTTTCTCTCTTGGAGTTTCTGAGACCTAGAGCTTCAGGGCCCAGCCTGGGGTTCTCAAGTTCTAAGGGCTCTAGCAGCTCCCAACCTAAGTAGGGACAGGGAGAGGTCAAGACGGGGTCAGCAGCAATGGGTGCAGTGTGTATTAGTTCTTAGGGCTGGTAGCTCTGGGGTCTGAGGTCAGGACAGGGAGGAAGGGTAGCAGCTTCTGAGGGGTTGGGGATAGGGAGTGGCAGTGCAGCCTTGGCTGTTGCAGGAACACAGGAAGGTATTCCAGGCCATGTGGCTCAGCTTCCTCAAGCACAAGGTAGGGACCTGGGGGGAGCACCCCATCTTCCTTGGGGGGACATCTTGGTATTCCTGGGGGCATGTGTCCTTGTCTTTCTGGGCTTTGGGGGCATCCTGATCTTCCTGGGGATAGGGTGGTTCTTTGCTCTTCCTGGGGGCCATACCCTGACCTGCTGCAACCCTCAGCTGCCCCTGAGCCTGTACAAGAAGGTGCTGGTGATAGCGCACGACTCCATCCTGCCACACTTGGCACAGCCCACGCTCATGATAGATTTCCTCAGCAGTGCCTATGACCTTGGTGAGGCCCAGCTGTCAATAATGGGGGCTTGTCTCCTTTTTGTGGTGGCTGAGGTGGTAGCCCAGTGCCCACAGGGCTGCTGCCTCTTCCTGGACATTGTGGGTTGGGAAGAGGATGGTGGGACAGGTAGTGATGCCGGAACTCTGCTCAGGGTCCTCAGGGTGGGGTGTAGGATGGGCTGACTTCATGTCTGCATCTGTTGCAGGAGGGGCCGTCAGCCTCTTGGCCTTGAATGGACTGTTTGTCCTGATCCACAAGCACAACCTGTGAGTGTCACCCTGGAGTGTGGGTGTCCCTGACTCTCCCAGGCCCGCCAGACTGGGTCCCCATTCCCATCAAGTCAGGGTGTTAGGGGAGCCCACTGGGAACAGGTAGCTGAATCAGCTTCCAGTCTTGGGGCTGTGGTTCCCTGGGGCCATCTCTGTGCTGGCATGCTGTCACCTTTGCCCCTACTCCCAGGGAATACCCTGACTTCTACCGGAAGCTATATGGCCTCCTGGAGCCATCCATCTTCCATGTCAAGTATCGTGCCCGTTTCTTCCACTTGGCCGATCTCTTCCTGTCATCCTCGTGAGTACCTGGAGGGTACCCAGCCTGGTCTCAGAACAGCTGGTGGTCCTGGGCTGCCCGGAGCTGGATCTAGGGACATTTGCTGGGTACCTAACCCTGTTCAGACCTGGGCTGCAGTCTTGGGCTAGGGAGGGGTGGGGGCTGGCGATCAGAGCTCTGGTGTCTCATATCCTACTGCTTTGCCCAGCCATCTTCCCGCCTACCTGGTAGCTGCCTTTGCAAAGCGCCTGGCCCGCCTGGCGCTGACGGCACCCCCCGAGGCCCTCCTCATGGTCTTACCGTTCATCTGCAACCTGTTGCGTAGGCACCCTGCCTGCCGGGTCCTCGTGCATCGCCCTCAGGCTTCTGGTCAGTATAGGGTGGGGCCAGGCCCTGAGGTAAGGTGGGGGGCACTTGGTGTGGTCCTTACCCCTTCCTATGTCCCCAGAGCAATAGCAGATGAGGGCCTGCATTTCATTTCTAGAGCTGGATGCCGACCCCTATGACCCAGTAGAAGAAGACCCGGCCAAGAGCCGGGCCCTGGAGAGCTCTCTGTGGGAGCTACAGGTGAGGGTGCCATCCCCTTGCTCAGCCAGCTGCATTCCAGCCCCAATTAAACCCCCAACTCCCTATAGCCCTACATGGCCTTGGGCCCTGTGTCACCCTGGTCACCTAGAGGAAACCCTTATCCACCTGGAGCTGCTTCTTTCCCTGATGCATTGGGGGCGGGGGGATTTCACAGAGCTCAGCCCTGCTGCCCCATCTCCTGTTAGCAGCTTAAAAGCCCCAGAGAGGGAGGTTGCACCTGAGGGCACTCAGTAGGGCCACTGCAGAGCTGGTGCCCCCTTGACGGCACCCTCATACCCCTCCCAGGCCCTTCAGCATCATTACCACCCTGAGGTATCCAAAGCCGCCAGTGTCATCAACCAGGCATTGTCTGTCCCTGAAGTCAGCATTGCACCACTTCTGGAGCTCACTGCGTATGAAGTAAGGGATGGGAGTACAGGGAGCTGGGCTCCAGGGCCTGGGCCCAAGGATCACTGAGCACCAGCCTAACGGCTACTATCTGTCCTTACAGCTCTTTGAGCAAGACCTAAAGAAGAAAGGGCCTGAGCCCGTGCCCCTGGAGTTCATCCCAGCCCAGGGTTTACTAGGCCGGCGAGACGACCTTTGCGCCCAGCACTTCAGACTCAGCTGACCCTGCCTTGACCCCACCCTATCCCCAAATAAATGGTTTTGTAGGAGAGTGGCTCTGATAGAGTATGGGCCTGGGTGGCATGCTCATATCCACCCTGGACCTGGCCTAGCCAGCCAGGCCATACAGAGTCCTCTGCCTTTTCTCTGTAGTTGGGGGGGATCTGAAATGTGGCCCTGCCCCTCAGGACTTCAGGCGGATGGTGTCACAGGTGCCTGGGCCAGCCCTCTGCAGAACCTCCTGGATCTGATAGCCCAGTCCAGCCAGCCCTACTCGTACAGAGCCCCTCTGTAGTTAGACCTGGGGTGACTTGCAGGGACTCAACCTTGGTCAGTCATGGTGGAAGCCACAGGGAGGGCAGATGTGGGTACAAGTGTTTGGTCTGAGTGTATGCAGGTGTTTAATGTGAGAGTACATGATAAGTTTGATTGTGATGTGTGTGTGGTGTGAATGGCATTTATGTGAGTGATGTATGTGATGTGTAGTGTATGATGTGTGGTGTGTGATGTTTGATGTGTGTGGTATGAGTGTGACGTGTGGTGTAGCTGAGTGTAATGTGTGTTGCAAAGTTTAGGGGTGGCTAAGTGCCAGTGACCCAGTCTGGCAGAGCCTTGCCGTGGTCCAGGGATCGGTGACCTTGAACAGAGGTCCAGGGGCAAGGGTCTGCATATCTAGTCCCAGTTGCTAACTGTGGGCTCCAGGCAGCTAGAAGTTAATTGTCTTGTTTTGTTTCCAGTATATATATATTTTTTATTAAGTCATATACACATACATCATGAATACATTTATGCATATGTGGGGTACAATGTCTTGATTTTTTTATACAATCTGATGTGCTTACATCAAACCAATCAATATAGCTTTTGCCTCATTTACTTGATTATTGTGTTAAGACATTTATGTTCTGTACTTGACAGATTTGACTAGTACCCTTGCAATATGCTCCATAGGTGTGGTCCTGCCATTTACCCCCCCTTTATCAAATCTCCCCACTTTCTTCCCTTCCCGTTTCCTGTGTATTTATTTTATGGGACACCATTTATGCCAAACAAGCCTGCTTCTCCACCCAGAACAGGGACCCTGAGTTTCCTTTTATAAATCTACTTGTTCAAAGAAAAGTCAGACAATTGCAGGCCCGTGGACTGGGCAGGACTGTGCCCCTCTGGATGGCAGGGCATTGCTGCCCACCACCCTTGAACCTCCTATCTGTGTCTGCCTATAGGACTGCTGGGCTTGCTTCACACTGTAGCTACTTGGGTCTCGGAGCTGCTCTGTTGGCCAAAGGGCCCTACACATGGCCTGCGGGGGCTTCAGGAGGCCAGTGGTGGTAGAGGTGGAAGTCTGTCTGCCCACCTCCCACCACCACAGTGGTGCAGGGACAGGCGCAGCCTTGTTGCCTGGGTAGGTGCTTCCTTCCACCCCTTGTTGCCTGGGTAGGTGCTGTGCTCGCTCTTGCTCCAGGGTCTTTGCATTGGCCAGAGCCTCTGCCTCTACAGCTTCCCCCTGCATTGCCCTATCAGTAAGGTCGGAGTTCGCACAAGACCTCAGGTAGGCCTCTGGACACCCCATTCATAGTCACGCACATGCACAGTTGCACATATATGTTCACACTCCACTGGCACCCATGTACCTTCCTCACATTTGTGAGCCATGTTCTTTGCTTGCTCGTACTGTCTATGCTTGCCCCCATATGCCCTTGGGCTAGACCTGGGGCTTGTGCATGTCTGCACATGATCCTGTGGTGCAGGACAGACCTGGATGGCACCATCACAAGGACATGTGCTGCACAGCCTGGTCCCCAACCTGTCCCTGGAGCCCAGCCCCAGCTAGTAGAGCACATGCTGGGCAGAAGCCAAGGAGGCTGGACAGTGTCCAACATCATGGCCAGAGTGGCCCTGGGACAGGGAGATCGTTTTGTGACCCTTATGCCCAGATCCAGAGAACCAAGTGACCAACCTCTTACCTTAATCACCAGGAAGACAGGAACTGCTCAAGGTGGCGATGGTGCAGCTCTTTGTTTCCACCCATCAAAATTATAAAACCAAAATCCAACTCTGGGGTTTGAGTGTCAGCAGGGCCCTGCCTGGACTTTTAGCAATGACAATAGGGCTGGTCCTTATGGATTCAAGGCAGAATTCTCCCTCCCAGGCTGGGCTGTCCACACTGCCTGCAACTCCTGCTTCGGGCCTGGATGCAGGTTCTATCTAGCTCTCTTCTTTATTTATTTTTTTTATTGTTGGGGATTCATCGAGGGTACAAGAAACCAGGTTACATTGATTGCATTTGTTAGGTAAAGTTCTTTTTTTTTTTTTTTTTAATTGAATGGTAACTATGTACATTAATGCACTTCTGGGGTACAGTGTAGGGTTTTCACATGCAATCTGAAATACTTCCATCAAACTGCTCAACACGGCCTTCATGTCATTTTCTCAGTTATTGCTTTAAAACGTTCACATTCTACTCTTAGAAAGATTCACCTGTACCCCTATAAGATAAACCTCAGAAGTGATCCCTCCAAACCCCCTCCCTCCACCCATTCCCCCCTCCCTTCTCCCTCCCCCCTCCCCATATTCTTAGGCTATTTGGTTATAGCTTTCATATAAAAGGTATAAATTAGTTTCATAATAGGGGTGTGTACATTGGATACTTTTTCCTCCATTCTTGTGATATTAGTAAAGTTCTTACAATCATGTCTTGCCCCCCAAAAGTGTGGCACACACCAAGACCCCACCCCCCTCCCTCCTTCCCTCTCTCTGCTCTTCTTTTCCCCCACCCTCCTTTCTCTCTCTGCTCTCCCCTTCCCCCACCCCCACTGTGTCATTAATTGTCATTAATTGTCCTCATATCAAAATTAGGTACATAGGATTCATGCTTCTCCATTCTTGTGATGCTTTACTAAGAATAATGTGTTCCATTTCCATCCAGGTTAATACAAAGGCTGTAAAGTTTCCTTTTATAATGGCTGAATAGGGCTTGGCGCCTGTGGCTCAAGCAGCTAAGTCACCAGCCACATACACCTAAGCTGGTGGGTTCAAATCCAGCCCCATCCGCCAAACAACAATGATGGCTGCAACCAAAAAATAGCCCGGCATTGTGGCGGGCACCTGTGGTCCCAGCTACTCGGGGAGGCAGAGACAGGAGACTCGCTTGAGCCCAGGAGTTGGGAGGTTGCTGTGAGCTGTGCTGCCATAGCACTTTACCCAGGGGGACAGCTTGAGGCTCTGTCTCAAAAAAAAAAAAAAAAAAAAAGGCTGAATAGTATTCCACATTCAGTATATGTACATATACATAGCTTGTTAATCCATTCCTGGGTTGGTGGGCATTTAGGCTGTTTCCACATTTTGGTGATTTTAAATTGAGCTGTGATAAAAACAGTCTAGTGTAAGTGTCCTTATGATAAAAGGATTTATTTCCTTCTGGGTAGATGCCCAGTAATGGGATTGCAGGATCAAATGAGAAGTCTAGCTTGAGCTCTGAGGGTTCTCCATACTTCCTTCCAAAAAGGTATTAGTTTGCAGTCCCACCAGCAGTGTAAAGTGTTCCTTTCTCTCCACATCCACACCAGCATCTGTGGTTTTGAGATTTTGTGATGTGAACCATTCTTGCTGGCATTAGATGGTTTATCAGGGTGGTTTGACTTGCATTTCTCTAATACTTAGGGATGATGAGCATTTTTTCACGTCTGTTAGCCATTCATTTGTCTTCTTTAGAGAAGGTTCTATTAATCTCTCTTGCCCATTGGTATATGGGATCATTGGCTTTTTTCATGTGGATTAATTTCAGTTCTTTATAGATCCTAGTTATCAAGCTTTTGTCTGATTCAAAATATGCAGATATCTTTCCCATTGTATAGGTTGTTTGCTTTGGTTGTCTCCTTAGCTGTACAGAAGCTTTTCAGTTTAATTAAGGCCTATTTGTTTATTTTTGTTGTTGTTGTTGCCACAGCAGTCTTCTTCATGAAGTCTTTCCCCAGGCTGATATCTTCCAGTTTCTCTTATGCTTTCTTTGAGGATTTTTTTATTGTATCATGCCTTAAATTTAAGTCCTTTATTCATCTTGAATCAATTTCAGTCTTTTACATGTGGATATCTAGTTCTCCCAGCACCATTTATTGAATAGGGAGCCTTTCCACCAAGGTATGTTCTTGTTTGGTTTATCGAAGAGTAGGTGGTTGTAAGATGTTAGTTTCATTTCTGGGTTTTCTATTCAATTCCAAATGTCTATGTCTCAATCTTTGTGCCAATACTATGCTGTCTTGACCACTATGGCTTTGTTGTACAGCCTAAAATCTGGTATGCTGATGCCCTCAGCTTTGTTTTTATTACTAATAATGCCTTAGCTATATGAGGATTTTTCTAGTTCCATACAAAACATAGAATCATTTTTTCCCAAGTCTTGAAAGTACAATGTTGATTTTTTTTTTTTTTTTGAGACAGAGCCTCAAGCTGTTACCCTGGGTAGAGTACTGTGGCATCACAGCTCACAGCAACCTCCAACTCGTGGGCTCAAGTGAGTCTCCTGCCTCAGCCTCCCAAGTAGCTAGGACCACAGGCGCCCGGCTATTTTTTGGTTGCAGCTGTCATTGTTGTTTGGCGGGCCCGGGCTAGATTCGAACCCGCCAGCTTAAGTGTATATGGCTGGCGCCTTAGCCACTTGAGCCACAGGCGCCAAGCCCGATGTTGATACTTTATTATTAATTTTTTTTCATAGAGTTTCACTTTATCACCCACAGTACAGTGCTGTGACATTACAGCTCACAGCAACCTCCAACTCCTGGTTTAGGCGATTCTCTTGTCTCAGCCTCCCAAGTAGCTGGGAATACAGGCACCTGCCACAGGGCCTGGCTATTTTTGTTGCAATTTGGCCGGGGCCGGGTTTGAACTCACCACTCTCGGTATATGAGGCCAGCGCCCTGCCATCTGAGCCACAGGCGCTGCCCCCCAATGTTGATATTTTAATAGGAATGGCATTGAATCAGTAGATTGCTTTGGGAAGTATAGATATTTTACAATGTTTATTTTTCCCAGCTATGAGCATGATATGTTCTTC